AGAGCTTCATTAAATGCTGTTTGGAAGAAACTTCCCTTCTATTATCATGTTGTCAGTGATTATTGGGTGTGGTATGTTGTGAAAGTCTGTTGGTTTCGTGTTTAAAGGGTCTGTTCTTCTTGACATTTACCTTCAGAAGTGTTCGTTGGGACTTCTTGCTGAGATTTAACTGTAACAGGAGCCCTTAGAGTGACTGACTTTGATATGATGTCATGGACCGAGGACAGATGGACCCAGTATTCAACGAGAGACAGTCAGTAGGAAAGTTCAAAATGTTATTAAATAAAACAAAAACTGAAGTGTAGATGTGGTTCGCGGATATTTCGGGGGTGGGGGGGGGGCACAGGTAAGTGACCATGATGGTAAGTGACCAAGGTAAGTGACCATGATCATCTGACAGAAGATGATTATCTGAGTTGGCCACCAGACTTCCAGGCATCCACAAGCTCCCAGGAGGGTTCAGAGTCTGACTGGGACCAGAAGCGTGACCAGGTGATTATGCACAGGAGTAGACAGAATCAGGTGCAGATGAGCAGGCTCAGTGGAAGAGGGTAGCCGAGACGGGACGTGGAACCAGAACTTGATGCAGGACTTTAAACTGGTCTCCTCCCTGGAGCCAGGCTTACTGGATAAAAACTGAACCTCCCCCCATAATGAGCCAAAAACCCAGAGGACTCCGCGGGGGAGGAACAGTGGACGATCAGGCAGGAGACGAGACAAACACTCAAACCCTCTTTCCATTGGCTGCCAGGATCCAGGACATGAACCATGAAATAAAAATAACAGACAGGCTAACAGAAAGACAAGTAATAATCTGGCACTGAATGCTCAGGCTGAACTGAATAAAACCAAGAGGAAACAGGTGAGAGGAATAAATTATAATTGAGGCAGGGAGGGAAAACGACAGGTGAAAGGAATTACTAATTAAGGGAAAGCAAACAGGCCAGATCATGACATATGATTGATTGTAATTTATGCAGAAGGAAGATATTACCGTCAAGAAAAGTGTTTCGGGGACGAACAGTTGTTACTTTTGTAAATTGACTAAATTGTATAGCTGAGTTGTGAGATATTTCACAACCTACTTTTTCACAGCTTTAATTTGTCAGCTTAGAGGTGAGGTCAAATTATGCAAGTGCAAATGCAAGTTAAAAGTCAGCTTAAAGTCTTTAGAGTTAAATCCTTTTAAGTCATCAATACATCATAAGGAAAAAACCCTAAAATACCACAGCCCAATGGACTGGTAGCTATGCATGTTTGGAGCTGGGATAGGTTCCTTACCCTTAATATTTGCTTTAATGACAGCATCAAGTACAAGTAACGACACCCAAGTCACAAGTCATTAGTTTTCAGGTCAAATTTGAATTACAAATCTGTTTTACTACAAACAAGTCAAATCTAAATGCTATCTAACTAATTTCATTGCAATAAGCTATAATATAACTAAAGCCAGTTGTGGAAAGTAAAGTAAATTTACTTGATTACTGTACTTAAGTACTTTATTGAGTATTTTTACTTAACTTGAGTATATGTTTGGGGGTACTTATAACTTTTACTCCACTACATTACTAGGAAGCTGCTAGTTCCTTTTTCCTTTTGTCTCAGCTTAGCTTTTAATCCGCTTTTTCTGTTTGTTTGTTTTTCTTAAAAATGCAAATTCAACATGGCAGATATCAGCCCTTAGGACTGAATCTGGACACCACTGCTGTAGAGATTTGCACGACGTTCCACAAATGTAAGAAACTAAGGGCAGATATTATTTCTAGTTTATACATTTGATCAAGCTATGAGTTGTTGCCATGTGTCTAAGTGGTTCAGTAGCAGGAGTTCTAAAATCAGAGCTTATTTGTGGTAATAGATTCAATCTTAAACTGGTAAACCACAGTGAAACTGTGAGGAGAATCAATACGCTACTGTTTTCTTTTTGGTTTGTTTTTAAATAGGAAATAATAATCACAACAGCTGTCATTTTTTGTGGCATTTTTATGCTGAAGTTCTTCACACAGTGCAAAAAATTTAAAATCTTGATAAGTCATTTTTTCTTAAAATAAGTGCATTTGTTCTTGAATTGAGGAGATAAAAGAGACATCTTGCCAATGGAACAAGACAATTTAGATTTAAAATAAGAAAACACAATTGCATTGTCTTATTTCAAGTGAGTATTATCTAATTATCTTATTTTAAGAGTAAAAATACTGATTCCATTGGATCGTTTTTCCAGTGCAGGTGGTGTAGAATCTGTAGCAGGTGGTTCTACGCTTCAATATATCAGGTGGTTTCTGAAAGTTACAAGGTTCTTTAAAATTACTCAGAAATGTACTGATATTAGAAAAGTTAATTTGTATTTTTTAATACTCAAGCACCCCTAAATGTATCTACTTTTGAATACTTAAGTATTTTCAAAAGTGAGTACATCAATACCTTAACTTGAGTAGATGTTTGAGTAACTTTTACTTGTAGTTGAGTAAGATTTGACTATGAGTATCAATACTTTCACTCAAGTACTACTGTTGAGTACTTCGTCCACCACTGACTAAAACAAGTTACTTGAAATACTTAAAATTGTAAAAAAAAAAATGTAATTTCATAACATCAGAACACTATATTTCTTTCATTGATATATTTATTAATTTTACTACCTCCTTCAGGTATTTTTTTCACTGCTTATTTATTTAGGTGTTATAAAATTCTGTCTTTAGATGCAGTTGACATGTAACTGTTTTCCACCATCCTCCCCTGTTTTATTCATTTAACAACTGAATCCATCCCTTTCCAGGTGAGGTTTTGTGTTTTCCTGTGTTCTTCATCCCCGTTGCTTAATAAAAGCCTGTTTCTCTTTGCTTCACTCAGGAAGTGTTATCTGTGACGCCTGCAGTCTGACTGCAGAAGGAGAGTCGGACATCCAGGAAAACTTCTGCCTCAGTCCATATGGTGAGGAACAAAAGCCAACCCTTTCAGAGTATTACATTTGATTATATTTGAGGGTTTTCCTTCAGAAGTTGACAGAGGAGACAAGCTGAAATTAGGGAGGTTGTGATAAGTGATATTTGTGGAAAATTGTCATAATTCTCTCCGTCTCAGCCTTAAAGATGCGCCTGGACAGCGTGTCAAGAGTGGGAGGCGACCGTCAGCTTGTGCCTATGGCCCGCAGCCGCATCCTGAGGTGGGCAGGAGGAGGTGCAGAGCGGGCGCAGGAGTTTGGAGGAGCAAACGCCCACAAGGCTTTGTGGCTGCAGGAAGGAGGCAGCTGTACATGTCCCGATTTAGACTTTCCAGAGATAAACAACGAAAAAGAGCCAAAGAAGGAGGAGAGTGATAAAAAAACGGCAAAAAGAGGAGGAAAGCTGGTGAACAGACACCGAGACGGATGGTACCTGGCTTTAGCCAAGCCTGAAGAGGGTAGACTGGTTTTGACTAGACTTGTTAAGTGGACCAGAGGGGACAAAGAGCTAAAGAAGTTCATCAGAACTCTTCTTAAAAAGCCTTGTCCAGAGCTGTAAACCATTGGCCATTTTAGGTTCTTACAGAACGCTGTCTGTAACCTTATGCTACTTGTCCACACTTTTTATTTATTCACTTGAAATCAAAGAAACACATTCAGGATCTATTAATGCATATGATCCCTAGAAAAGCTTTTTTTTCCCAGTCTGTGTGGGTGACGATGGTAAAGTTGCATGTAAGCAACTCTTTCATCTATTGTGTCTAATACTCTCCCATCTATCAGGTAGCCAGTGTAAGCTGGGTAAAACCCTTAAAAGTAACATAATTTAACTACTAATTATCAATATTCTCTTAAGAAATTATAGCTGATCTATTTTTCGCTAAAGTGGACATCATGCATTACTGGCTTTTTAGTTGATTTCTCAATATTAACACAGAAGCAAATGTTTCTAGAGTAAAAACTTATTTTACTTTTACATTAAAAGCTTTTGTTGTTAGACTTTGCTTTTTTCCCCATAAACCTCAGTTATGAAAATGTGGTTATAAATGTTGGTTGAGTATGGTGTTAGAAATGGTGCCTATGAGAGGCAGGAAGGAGGCTGAAGAAGTGAAAGGAAGCCGATAATGCTGAAGTTGCACCACCTGACTAAGGTCAAACACAACCGGCCGAACTGTGGACATCTTGAAGTGCAGAAAGAAACTATATATCAGTAGAGAAGCTTTGTTTTTATTTTTGGTTCAGATGGATTTTTATTATCTCCATGTTTGAGCTAAAGAAGCTAAAGGTGGTTACCCATTTGTCCATCTGTTGCCATGAAATTTACTTCTGGTGTGTTTTGTTTGAAATGCTCTAGTCACTGGAGTTCAGTTACTCTCAAAAAAACTTCAATAGGTTTACAAGCTAGCTGTTTAATTTTTTATGCATTTTTGTTATATAACCTTGTTTTTTTCTTAAGAATGACACAGAAAGGTGTCTTTTCGTTGCAACACCTGGTAAAGTTGTTCCAATGTCAGGAAAGTCGTTATTTCACATTCAGTGAAAAGCTGCAGTCGCAATGTTTGTGGGTTTTTGTAGACATGCATGAAAGAAATGTTGTATGTGACACAATTTGCTATGAAGTTGTCTTATTTTGCTGCTTTACTGTTTCTTTTTTCGGAGTTTGCTTAGTTAAAATATATTTAAAATGAAAACAACCATGTCTGAATTAATAGGAAATTTTAAGCTTGATTCAATTATCTTTTTTCATCCTTTATGTATACTGTGCTGGAAATATTTAAATAAAGACATTATTATATCACATTTGGTGTTAGAGTGGTGCATACGGCCGTCTCTTTCTTGATCTTTCCACCATGACTCAGTGAAAAGTAGACAGAAATCGGACTCCATAGAAACACACCTGCTGATGCTTACTTGAGGTATCGGTTTCATGCAGCCTCCATCAGTATCACTGTCTGCTCCTTCAGCCACTGTTTGCTCTGTTTTCCATATTGACAGAAGAGCATCTTATAGGCGGCATGATAAAGCAAACAGAAACTTATGTTTTAACTTTATATCAATGTAATCACTAAAATATCTGTGTTTAATTACAGTATAGGTGTTTTTTTCGTTCATGTGATGCATGAATTATTCATGTAACAGAGTCTCCAGGGTTCTCGGCGGCGGGTACGCTCCTCCCATGCTCTAGTCTCACTTGGCTTCTTTACTCTCCTGTTCTGCTGAGTTTCATACTTCATTGGAAAACAGGTGAGGTTTTGTTGTTTTTTTACACGCTTTGTTCCTATCTGTGACAACAGAGATGTTGCTTAGAAATTATGCTGCACTTTATTCTTGTATTGATTAAAAGAACCAGATAGATTGATGTGACGGTAACTCATTGGTGTGTACCGATAACTATCATTGGATAGCTGACAGAGGCTGAACCATCCATTGCTTTAGGAGTTACAGAGAAACCACTGTACATTGGGCTCATGCCTCTTATTTTAACATCTAAAACTTTCCTCTCTGACTTTAGTTCTTCCAGATCTCAATAAAAATACAATGAATTGACTTGAATTCCTAAATTAAACAAGGAGCTACTGGTCCAGTTGTTCAGTCTTTATACGATTGTCTTATTTACACCTTTAAAATTGTAAAAGTAAACTGTAAAGTACAGTAAAATTTAAAAAAGTAAAAATGTTTTATCTACAACTTAAATAAAAGCCAAAGTGAAGTAGAGGGAAAGCGTTTCAAACACAGACTGATCTCGTATTTGAGACACTACAAACAAGTTCAAAAAGTGAGACTACTGCAAAGAAGATTGAAAATACTTCTGCTGGGTTATTACTACCATTTACCATATCTGCATATCTGGGAGTGTGTTGAGAGGCAACAGTCTAGAAGAAACACCTCCTCCAGTTTCTATGGGGGAAGCCCAGTATGTCCCCTCCAGCGTGTCCTGGTCTGTTTTTACATATATGGGTGACCAAACAGCAAGTAGCTCCATTGTTTGAATTCCTCTCTTCATGAGGTTTACTCTCTCTTTCCATTTTGTAGCTTCTTAATTGGATTTTGCCTTATCCTGTTACTGAAATTAAAAATTTGTATGCAATGTAGATTTTTTTTTTAACCTTTTTCTTAAAAGTTTCTTACAGATTTTCTATATATTTTTTTCTTAATGGCTTTTATGTTTGGGTGGGGTTGGGGGTCAGAAATCAAGATCTTATGAATAGATGGTTTACAGCTTTATTATATCATTGATAGTTTATTATCAATACCAGTCATAGTGTTGGTTTTATAACATTTAAAGTGGCTAAAATGATCTCCTTCAATGCAGGAATTCTTAGGAGCAATTGTTAAACTATTGCTTTAACTGTTGAACTGCTGAACTAAAAAAACCGAATCATGTCAGAGTCTGCATCCCGCTGATAACATCAAACCAAAAATACTGCATATTTGCACCATATATATTAATGCTCTGAACTTTCATATCAATGCATTTTTTTGCACCATTTTTTTTCTTCCACACGGTTTACATTTGATCACTGCTGCACTTCATGGAAAGGAAATGTTCATTTACTGTCTGAAAAGCTGTGCTAAATGAAATTTCATTTTGTAAACACTGTGTATACAAAATGACAATAAAAGTTGTCTAAGTCAAACATACATAGCTTTGGCCTGTGGATGGAAACTAAACCACCCTAAAATAATAAGGAGAAGGTGTAAATTCAACAAAGAAAGGCTGTGACAAGGATTCAAGTCTAGGACATTAGAAATATATCTCTAATCTACATGATTGTTTTTGTCGAATTTCCTTTTGTCAAAGTTTGAATGTTACACAAAGCTAGTGCTGGCTTTTGCTAGCTGCTAAGCAATTGAACAAAGGGCTACTCAAATATAAACTAGTCTGTAACACAGCCTGTAGGTATCAACAGCATCATACAACATTATTTCATATTCTTGTCATTGCTATTATTTTCCTATAGGAAAAGTTTATTGACGTCTATTACAGAGCATTAACCTTTACACTGAAAACTCAGTACCCATCTTTGCAATTAAAGGAATATCATTGCTGTATTTTTTTACCCTCTGCTACTGGCAGAGTTCTGGTTCTGTTATGTTTTTCTTTTGAGTATTCAGTTTTACTTTGCTCCTTGTTTTCTATTTTTAGTGGTTTAATTCTCATTTTGTTGTGTTCTCTGTTTATTACTCAGTTACGGTCACAGTTCTGGTTCTGTTATGTTTTCTTTTGAGTATTCAGTTTTACTTTGCTCCTTATTTTCTAGTCTTAGTGGTCTGATTCTTATTTTGTTGTGTTTTCTGGTTATTTTCAGTATTCAGGTTTTTGTTTGTTGCCCTCTGCTGCCCTCTTGTGTTCTCCTTTTTCCCTAGCTCCTTTCCTGATTCTGCTCTGTTCACACCTGCTCCCAATCTGCTAATTAGTCCTCTCTTTGTTTCAGTCTCCATTAAATACTCTCTCTGTTCAGTTCTTCAGTGCTGGTTCCTCGTCTAACTTCCTCCAATTCCGTCTCTCCTCCTCGTGATAGTATCTCCCCTGATGTCTCCATGGTTTCTGGTTTGTTTTGACTTTGTTTGGATGTTTGGATTTCTTGCCTCTGTGTTCAGTTAACCTTTCATTAAACCCACAAGAAAATCACCTCTGCCTCCCTGCCTCTGCATTTGGGTCAACAAACCACAACCAAATCCTGACAGCTACTCCCTTAATGATTTGGTTGCCAATTTTGACCCAGAGTTCGGTTAAACCCCCCCAACTTACCCAGCATTTAATAAAATAACCCTAAAGCTTTTTAAGAAGATGTTTTAAAAAGTTTGTCTCTTTCTGCAAAAGTATTTAAATGTCCTTGTCTATTTATTCTAAATTACAGCTACAGTATATTGTCTTATAGCAGCCTTTTATAATATAACCTCAGTTGAAACCTTTTTACTTTAAATCTGATTTAATAGGGTTTTTACTAACCATCATCATAAATAAAACCACAGTGTTAAATAAATGAGAATGCATTACAATTCTGACAAATTGTCTATATTTGTGGGTTTATTTCTATTCAGGGATGGTGTCTCCTGCCATTGCTTTTGCCTTCATCCCCCTTCTGCTGACACTGATAATCAGGTACCGCTTCTATTTTGTGCTGTTCTATCGAGCAGTCCTGGTTAGGATCTGGAAGGACTGTGTAACTGGTTTGAGCAGAGAGGAACGTGCGTTCCAGTACGTCCTAACTCATGCGACCCCTGGGGACACTGACAGCATCCTCGATGCTTTTGATAGCTGGTGCAGCAAGGTGGAGTACATCAGTAACATCGGGCCTAAAAAAGGTAGAGAACCTGTATCTCAGTAAAATGCAAGAAAAAAAATAAACAGTCTGAACTGTTGCTGCAAAAATTGTATGCCTGTTCTCTGAAGGAAAAATCCTGGACCGGCTGCTGATGGAGCAAAGCCCTTTGACCGTGTTGGAACTGGGAGCTCATTGTGGTTACAGCACAGTGAGAATCGCCCGGGCTCTGCCTCTGGGGGCCCGGCTCTACAGCGTTGAGATGGATCAAGGGAACGCAGCCATTGCTGAGAAAATAATCCGTTTGGCAGGATTTGATGACGACACGGTGAGAGGGCAAGAAAATATGACCACCTTCTGAATCGTCACCTCATCCAAACTTTATTTAATTTGTCACTTCTGCAGGTGGAACTCATTGTGAATCCATCTGATGAGGTAATCCCTCGACTGCGGTCTGACTACCAGTTGGAGAGGCTGGATTTTGTCTTCATGGACCACTGGAAGAAATGCTACCTGCCCGACCTCCAGGTTATAGATTAAAAAATAAGCATTTCGGATATTAATTCAATTTGTATCTCACACTGACAAATATTTCAGCTTAAATATGCATCTAATTAGAATATGGGAGCCGGTTATTACTGTTATTGCTGCATAAAATTACATTTATATGGCAGACCATTTTCATTCAAACACTACAGTTTACTACCATAAGTGATTCATTTGACTTAATTAAATAATTCCCATTGCTCTCTTACTTATTTTGTCTCCTTGTTCCAGTTACTGGAGAGCTATGGTCTGCTGGGAAAAGGGTCTATGATTGTGGCTGACAATGTGCTGTTCCCTGGGGCTCCGAAGTTTCTCCGATATCTCCGGAAGTGCGGTTTATACGAATGGAAGATCCACCGGGCAACGCTAGAGTACAGCAAGGGCATCAGGGATGGGATGGCTGAGTTGATCTACCAGGGAATCAAATAAAATACACTTCTACTGTTTAGATATAGGTTACAAATGAGAATTTCCATAAAATCCTACTACCATTTAAGTAAAGTGTCTTCCAATGTTCCCATACCTTTAACTTTTTGTTATTTTTTGAAACGTCCCAACCACTGTATTTATTGGGATTTCGTATGATACGCAGACTTAAAGTGATACTCAACTGCCAAGTGAAAAAAAAAGTGATTAAAAGAGTTTACATTTTTTAAGTGAATTTTGCAATTACAATTTATTTTAGCACTGCTAAATAAAATCAGATATATTAGTAGATTTACCCAACTTTGTGTTTATCAATTAGGAATCCCAATAGAATACCCACAAGATGTAAAGTTTGTGTTTAGAAATAATTGTAAAAATATTTGAAATGCTTTAAGCTATTTATGAATACTTAGGGTAAATAAGTATTCTGTTTTGATGCAGATTGTTTTTATTAAAGGTGTGATGTTGTGTTGACTTTGCCTCAAGAATGTTAGAACCTTTCTGTATCCACCCAAATACTCCCTATACGATTCCTTTCCATGATATAGATAAAAAGAGAGTAAATATTGATCATTTTCAGGAATCAGGAAATTAGATTTCTATCTATTATTCGTGTTTTTTTTTAAATATTATTGTAAACTGTAAAGGTTGTTTGACATAACATATGCATTGATGTTATTTTGAAAAGACGGATCAAAAGGAAAAAGAATAAATGTTACTTACATGTTTACATCGGCTTAAATTCAATTCAAATTTTATTATGGACTCCAGGTCATGAATATATAAAGGAACAGGCTTACAACAGACAATAATAAAACAAACTATCTAAAAGGTTTAAAAAAACAGCTGCACTGGTGCCTCCCCATCCTGGATTGGTAATGAATGGAACTACAACTGATATTCACCAGGGACATGATAAAATGATTCACAGACTTGTTAAATCCACCGATAAGATTTAGTTCTACTGAGACAAGCATCTCACTGGCACAGGTCCATCTGGGCCTCCTGAGAAAACTAAAAAATCATAGTAGACCATAGAATAGAATAGAATAGAATAGAATAGAATAGAATAGATAAATCCCTTTATTGTCCCACAATGGGGAAATTCAGGTGTTAACAGCAGCAAGATGATTATAGAAAAAAATGGACGATCCGCAGGCTTTCCAAGTGTCCTTTTTTTAGTTTGACTAATTAGCTGTGTACAGAGGATTACAGATTGATTTCACTAACATGTTTTCACTTTGTCTGCACAGGATCCAAACTTGCATGCAAGTGTGTTTGCCAGTGCATTTAATGAATTGTCATTATCATCAGATAAATCCTCTGTAAATATATGCCTGATGTATTTTATTGGGTTTATTTCATTTACACTGTACCTGACAGATAAGAATGTTGAAATTTTGTACTTTTATACTGCTTAGTTCTTTGTATCATTACCAGACTTTTTGCTGATTTGTAGTTAAGGTTAAGCTCTATGCCACAAGCTAACAGATATTAAGCAACACTTGCAGCCCTGCAATGCTCTGACTAAAAAACAACCAGGTCATCTGCATGCATCAAATGTTTTAAAACAAGATTGCCAGCTGCGTATCCAGTAGCCTATTACAGGCTTGTTGACTGCTGTCCAGATAAAAATTAAAAAGAATGGGGGATAATATCCCCTTTGTTTGACCCCTTTGCCAACCTTAAAGGTCCTATATTGTGCAAAATTGACATAATAATGAGGCTCCCAGAGCATGTTATTGCCATTTGTTCAGGAAATTTCCTCTCAGGTTAGGCAGATGCCCTTTACCAAAAATGTTCTTACTAAGCGCTCCTCCGTATGAGCTGTTTTGGTTTTCCTCGGCCACAACCTGTAACCATGACAACCGGTCAGAGTTCGTCAAGATATCTGCTAAGAGCATGGTATAATACATAAGATGAAAGCTGTAGCTAGACTGATAGGCTGCTACAGACTACGTTTGACAACTTATTCCCCCTAATGACATCATAAAGGGAGCATTTTTTTAGGCATTGAGGGGAAATTGTAGGAGAAATTTTTCCGTTATTGAACCCCATACACAGACTCCAGGACACACATGACTGTTACAAAATGCTTATTATTTTTTAGATGTAGCATAAAGTGTTACCTTCAAACAGTCCAGACACAGAGTTTCCATATTTAGTTGAATTCTGACTGTATCTTCCTCACAAACTGAAACTTGTAGTTGGTTCCACAGGAGAGGAGCCTGATAACTAAAAGATCTGCCTCCCATTCTACTTTTAGAAATTCTGGAACTCAGCTGAAAGCTTTTAGCTACAGTTTGTGGACTTCCTGATAGTCTTGAAGTAACAAATGCATGGACTAATTTCTCAGCATCACCCCTGGACAGGATATTTCTAATTTTTGCAATATTCCGCTGATGAAATAAGAAAATTCTAGAAACCTCTTTGATATGGGGTTTAAATTACAGGTCCTGATCTAAAGTAACACCAAGATTTTTTACTTTATTATCTCAGATCAATTATATCCTTTCCAAATAAAGTGACTGACTAATCAGCTTGTTTTCAAAGTCTCTGGTCCAAAGACTTTAACTTCTGGTTTGTCTGCATTTAGAAACAGGAAGTTAAGAGTCATCAAGGTTTTTATGTTTCATTTCATTTCATTTAACCAACATCACTTGCTGAGCATTTATTCTTTGAATAATGTTAAATACACCCTGAATAAACTTCATAAACAATTTTTGTAAAATAAACCTTCTGTCAAACAAAATTGTTCCTCATTGGGCTAACATGGTTCATGTTCACCAGGAAAAATAGTACGGTAACAACTTTTGTCTATTAAACCGAATTGATATTTTCCTCATTCAAAATTTTACATTTTAATTTCATTTCTCACATTAAACAGCAGGTCAGCTCCAATAAAACATGGTTGTTTTATTTATAAGAAATAAAAAAAAAAAAACAATAAAAGATATATTAACAAAATTATTTCTTACAAACTGCCCAAACCTGTAACATAAATCAAAGCATTTGTTCTCAGCTGCGCACCATAAAGACAAGGGAACTGATAGGCAAAATTCTCTAAACACATAAACATTTTTTATAAGGGTTTATAAATCTCCTGCAGAAGGAGTTTCAATAACTCAGTAGCCGGGTCATAAAACAGAAAACGGCTCTTTTTAAGATGTTTTGTTTTCACAGGTAACAAATTATTTTGCTGACTGAAGCAATGTTAGCTCAATCACCCGCTTTAAACCTCTCCTTCACACATGACTTAAGATATGACAGGTCAAAGTTCAAATGACAGACTGCTGGGTACAGTGTGTGCCAGACAGCTCCCAGGTCAATGTTAGAGTACCAGACAGGTTTGGAGCGGATTTGGCAGGATCTGTTGGTTAAGAAATCCGGACCAATGCAGCAGTATCTTCACACGACTCTCCCATGTTTATATTTCAATGTTTCATGCAGCAAAATTCACAGAAATGTCCAACCATGCCTACAGCTTTTTAAGGCGGATGGATCGCAGCTTAAGAATCAGCTCAGATACCACTTGAAGTAGCTTTTACACAAATATTAAAACATATCTGAGTCACAGAGTGGTTAGGAATTAGTCACATTGTTGGTAGGGGTAGAAATCCAGACACCAGTTTAGTTAAAGATCTTCCTAAATCATCCACTGGTCCTGGTCTTGTTCTGCTCCTTCCATGTCCACCTGAATGACAGAAACAACAATTGATTCTATCGATTTTTATTTTTATCAGAAAGCCTTTTAACTAAAACTGGAGTCATAAGAAATGCAAATGAGAGAGATGTAAATAAACACACCTCATTGATTTCCCCATCATCAGGCGACTCGTTGTAGTCATTCATCTCGTCCATGTCCTGCATGTCTTCTTCATCTTCTGAGTCTTCCTCACTGTCATCCTCGTCCTCGTCATCCTCTTCCTCCTCCTCTTCATAGCCTGTCTGAATCCGTTAAAAGAAAACCACAGTGAACTGCAAGACTATTTATACCCTTTTTTAAAAGAGATCTGAAAAAATTTGACAATGCATTGTTTTATATTCCACCATAGGCCTGGCTGTACATTCAGTGTACTTGTCCAGCATGGAGGCAGATAGGGCTGCAACTAGCGATTATTTTGCAAATCGATTAATTGGCTGCTTTAGTCCGTAATGTAGCGCAGCCGTTAAGAAAGGTTATCTACCAGGTTTGTCCTTTAATTACCTACACCCATTGTTGTTGTCATCAGTCGCTGTTCTCTGATTTGCTTCATCTACGTGGAAATTAAAGTAAGTATTGTTGATAGTTAAGAATGTTGTTTAATTAGTAGAATATATTGGTGTCATGCTGTTGTGTGTACATTTTCTAGCTACTAACTTTAGGTTTTTGTGCGTTGCATCTTTTGAGAACAGAGTTTATTTGTTCCAAATGGTAATAACTGATGTTATATTATTATTCTTTGTTTAGAACCACACAGTTCTTTCAAGTGAGGAATAAAGAGAGATCAGGCTTGTTAAACACAATCGGAGGGTGACTGGATTCAATTTGGACTTCTAACCAAGCTCACTGCAGTGATTTAAACATTTCAAACAGCATAACTACAGTCCATATGTTTTATCTGTGTTAGGGCCCACCTTGCAAATTGGACTGTATGGTGGTCCTCTTAGGTGTGCAGTTTGAGAGCCTTTTCTTTTTCTTTTTTCATTTTTACACGGTGGCCGTAACAACCATCTATAATATGTTTAAACATTAAGATATTTTTCTATAAGAAAATGTCGATTTTTTTTTATTATGTGGTTCAGCAGAAAACCAAGCACCAATATATGGATGCCATAGTCCTGTCCCAGTTTCAAATTCTCGACCCAGTTGGTTCCTTCCCTACCATCCAAACTGCTAATGAATAAATGCCATCAAATAAAAGCACAATGAATAGGGATGCTCTGATCCGATACCTGGATTGGATATCAGCCTGGATATTGACTAATAAGTCAGATCGGATATCGTTATTAGATATCAGAAATGCAATCCAGTACATTTCATGTGGAACCATTATTTCTTTCCCTTTACTGATTCTTTGTTAATAAATAATATAAATTACATTTATATCTGTATTAATTTGTTAAATTTTTTTTTAACATTGTTTATATCAAGGCTAAATCCCTCACTCACATGGTACTGATATGGTTCATTCATTCAACAGTTGAATCAGATCAATATTGGATATTGGCCGATACACTCAGCCCAGGTGTCGGTATCTTATTATATCTGAAAACACTTGATCAGTGCATCTCTGACAATGAAACCATTTTTTTTCTCCCACAATGGAGTACGTAGCCTTATTTATATGTCTGTAGTTGTTGGATGCCCTCTAACAAACCTCTCAGGCCTTCCAGAAATAGACTACGCTTAAACTGTAAGTTAATCCTATAAAGCAGAGGTCTTCAACAGGGAGTCCGTGACCCCTAGGGGGTCCACAGAGGTACTCCATGGGGGTCGAGAAAGTTTTGGTTGATTAGACTTTTTTTTATATTCCCCCTTGCAATTTTTTCCACTAATTGAATTGTCTATAAAAACACATTAACATGAATTCAACACACTGTAGTAAACAGTTAAATGGAGGCAGAAGATGTCTTTCAGTCATCAATGCTCACATTCAAGCTGTTTCAACCTGTTCCATCAACCAGGAATCAGAAATACTTTTAATAATCCCAGGGAGAAATTACTTTCGTTACATTACTCCATCTGTTATAGAGAGACTATAGGACCAGTTTGATGTAACACTATCTCATACACTAATATATAATCAGTTTGGGGGTCCTTCGCCTGGAAAACGTTGAGACTCCTGCTATAAACCAATCAGATATTTCTAAAGACAAATGGTTGCACTGGATTTAATTAAGGATTATCTGAAGAACCAGGTTCAAGGACAAGGGATTCTACTTTTTAGTGTAAAACAATGTAAAAATGATGAACTTTTCACTACTGAGTTGTTCTGTGGCAGAACATCTCAGCTAAATACATGATAGTTGTGGCTGTAAAGTATGACAAATCCATATCTGACGCAAGGAAACATAAAACAAAAACAATCTAACGTCTCCTATTACCTCAAAGATGGGTTTCCCGATGGGCATTAAGTTGTTGTCTTTCTGCGCGATGCTCTGTAACTGAGGCAAGCAGAGGATGTGTTAAATCAGTGAGAGGAAGGAGAAGAGAGGAAGACAGGGAGCAGAAGCTGGATGTTTACCCAGTTTTGATGCTGCTGCTCCTGCTGATGCAGCTCCGTCTCATCCACACAAGGCCGGTCCAGGTTGAACCACAGGGACTCGGTGATCCGTGGGAGCAGCGACGGAAACAGCGTCGACATGTCTGTTAGAGAATAAACACCAATATGAGTCCGTGACACTTTAAGTTTGAGCTTTAACTCGGAAACATACAGGAGCAACAAGTCCTCAATGGATGCTTGGAAAGGTTCTTTCTCTTTAAAGAGTCTCTGTAAAACTACCAGGGTATCCAGAAATTCATTCATCATTACCTTTTTGTGCCTTTAACTCTGTATCTTTCCGTTTCTCTCTGTTCCTTCAAAATAATTCAAAAACAACGGAAACCGGAAGTAAATGGTGTTCATCTTTAAAGTCTCCCTCAGAAACATTTTCGTTCCCATTCGAGAATTAAATCCGTGAAGGAAATAATGTGCTATAAATGTGTATTTTAGCCTTTTATGTATTTTTCTAATTGTTTTAAAACGTTTAAAATTATTTAAACGTCTTAAAAATGTCAAAAGCAATTTTTTGATTTTTTTTTTATGTTCTAAACTCCCTTTGTTTTCTGTCTTGATTTGACAAATACATAAAAGGCTAAAATACACATTTATAACCCATTTGGCCATGTATATTGGTATATTTGTTTCAAAATGGAATAAAGAACACAGCCACATTTTATAAAGGAGGATAAACATATTGCTTCACTAGTTACATGAACAACATGTATGCAAATAAAAAAAGGCTTAAAATTCTACTTACTTTTAATAAACATAGAAAGAAAAAATCGATAGCTTGCATTTTAGTAGTATAAAAATTTAAATGTTCTAAAATTATATTATTTCTGCCTTTTTTTGTTCCTTTTGCATGGTGCATTATCCGTTATTACTACAATTTCTAACATAGATGAGAATGTAAGAAATCATTTAGTGACTTCACAGATTGATAAACCTACATTGTGATGTTAATGTTTCATCCCAGTTATATCATAATGCCACTCAGATAGATGCAGCATAAACATCTTAACTGCCTCTCTTTTCCTCTAATGACTCACAACTTCTATATATTCAAGCTTTTTCATCAAGCACTTGGATCAAAGAGGGAGGGAGAACAACCTTGAGATTGGCCAAATTATCTACTGCAGTAGACTATGTCATAAAAGCTCAGATGATCATCTGTTCTTGGTATATTCAACAACCAGTGACCCAGACTTTGGACTTTGTAAAAAATATTACTTAATAGCCAAGGAGAGTTCCATATTTTCTTCCTATTAGGGGCAACCTTGTGCTTGGTCACACTTCTCTCCCAGGGAGCCTTACACACGTTTAAGGATAGATGTGTGTTTGGCATTTCCTGTTTTGTCTAAAGAACCGTGCCAGAGTTTAACTGGTGGTGACATTTAACGGATAACTTTGTCCAGATAGAAGCTTTGAAAAATCTGAAAAGGTAAAATATTTTTTTCCTTTATTGCATTTTATAGTAAGAGTTAAAGTGGACATTCTTTAAGCAAGGAGACAAAGTATGATCTAGTTGGCTTATAGTAAAAGTTTTGATTTCATTCTCTGGACACACCTATAAAGGGTTGAATTAATCTGGTCTGTTGCGGAAATTTTGCATATATTTTTAAATCAAAATTCTTGCTTTGTACCAATATGTTTATATGCTCTTACATGTTTTGTACATTTTGCAGCCTTGATAGATATTTTTGTTTTTGTGTGTGTTTTACTCATAAAGGCATGAGATGAGAAGAACATTTTGTTCCAAACAAGAAACATATTAATCTCAGGTCATTTTTGTTTTACTGTAGTTACATTTTCAAAAGTATTTATATCCTCTGATTTGTTATTGTTGTTTACTAATATTAGAACAACTAGCATGAATGTATTTTATTGTTTTTTTTTGTGGGTATAGTGTGCATCTGTTTTACAAATAATTAAATTTTGTTATTTATACAACAAGTCTTAAAGGCACTGTACAAAAGGCATCAGATTTAGCAGAAATCAAGTCAATTTAAACCAACCAAACAGATTCAAAATCATTTACATATTATCTAATTTGATCTCAAGTATAAAATAATGCTGTCAAGGTTAATTTGCAACTAATACTGGTAAACGTATTACTAAGGAAAATAGCTTGTTGTGTAAAAATACCAGCTTTGCAGGATTCATTCCCTCTGAATGAACATATGAGGTCAGCATTGAATCGTTAACTTATCAAGAATGTATGTGGCAACAGCAGCCATCTGCTGCAACTAATGAGGGATTTGAAGCGACAGAGCAAACATAAAAAATGCAAAGCAATGGTGCAGAAGTAGTTTGTAAAGAGAGGTAAAGAGTGAATGGTAGCACAAACTGGTTGGTTTAACATGGTTTAACATAGGAGGGAAATATAGCTGAGACAACCACAGAACAAAATCAACATGTTGGCGATAAAACTTGAAAACAAAGCTAAAAAAAAAAAAAGGCTTAATAGCTTCTTCTGTTATCTGATCAAGACATAGAAAAAACTGACTGACTGTTTTCAATCAAGCCAATGGAGGAATTGTTATGTTATTACAAAGTAATTAATATATTCCGACCTTGGTAAGTCATAACAGTTTATAAGGTGAATTGGTAGACATGCCTTTAGATTACTGCGGAACTTTGAAAGGTACACCTGTTGTTTTCATGCTTTCATGGCCATATGATAAAAACCTTTTTGTTTCCTGTTCTCTCCAGCCATGCTGCTGTTCCTTGCCTCTCTTGTAGCCCTCTCTAGTGGTGTCTTGTCTCTGGATAAACTAAACATGTGTATGGATGCAAAGCATCATAAAGTGGCGCCTGGCCCTGAGGGAGCACTGTACTCTCAGGTTATAACACAAACCGTTTTTTACTGTCTTTAAGTTCTTAGGAGGGCTAGATTTCTAAAGTGAACTATGATCATGATGTAACTTCCCCTTTGCAGTGTGCTCCCTGGCGTGATAATGCATGCTGCACTGCAAACACCAGTGAAGAAGCCCATGAAGACAACTCCTACCTGTACAATTTCAATTGGAACCACTGCGGTGCAATGAGCCAGAAATGCAAGAAACATTTCATCCAGGACACTTGTTTCTATGAGTGCTCACCTCATCTGGGACCTTGGATACAACCTGTGTGTATTGTCTAAGTTTTTGCCTTTGTGTGTCTGTGGGAAAGTAACACTAGATGGCAGCAAAAGTATTCAACCAAACTAGAGTTAATTTCAATCATCCAGTAGTTTCAAAATAATCTGAAATACTTTATATGTTTCACAGCTAATTAGACAATATTAAAACGCATACATCTATTTATAAAGGTACTTATATACAATATAAAATGTCTGGTATACATAAAAAAATATCTAGAAATATGCAAATATCCAACAAAAAGGAACAAAAATGTAAAATCATAATAATCAAACTTCACGGTAAGCTGTTCTAAATAAAAATAAAAGCAATAAAGGTGTGAATAACTTTTTAAAAGTGTAAAATTTAGAAAAATGCCTTGATCTTAGTAAGAGAGTTATGGTAAAACAAACTAGTAATTAAAAAAAAAAAAGATAAAAAACACATCCCATTTATCAGCCTGGAAAATTGTATAATACCATTTCAAAGCTTTCCAACTCCAGTAAAACACAGTGAGAGCCATAATCCACAAATCAAGAAAACACGAAACTACAGTCAACATTTCCCAGAGACACCAACCCACAAAAAAATTCCAAGAGCACAATGACAATTCATCAGGCAGCTTAGAACACCTAAAGCACTGCAGGCCGAACCTGCCTTTATAAATTACTTAATAAGAAGAAAGGTAGTGAGTAAAATAAAATAAAGACAAAAGTACCACTAAATGATCAAACAAAAAGAAGAAAAAAAGGTCTATGATGGTGCGTGTGCAGGTAAACCTGACAGCCGACAATTGTAGTAGATAATAATGTTCTATCTCTAAGTTGCAGGAAAAGGATCAAAAGCAGACAAAAAAAAAATAGATTTAAATCTGCAAGAGAAGAGTGAGATAACTTTAAAAAGGTTGTTCATATTCAGAAATTGCTTTCAATATTTTTCCATTTGAACACGCAGGAAAGCAAGAGCTGCTCATAATGCAACAAAATCAGAAAAAGCTAACTTTTCTTTCATAAACCTATTATGCCTGAAGGCAGGGGTGTAGCTACAGGGGGCTAGGGGTGGCCATGGCTATTTGGACGTAATTCAGCACCTGTGGAACAAGAGTTTCCCTCTAAGACAGAGGGTCCTTTCAAGTGAAATCTCCTAACTGATTTTATCTTTTCTATTGTTAGTAGAAAAATATATAAATTATGTTTTCCCACATCATTATACTAACATGGAAAATGATAAATACAGAAGTCATGCTCTTTTTGGAAATAGTTTTTAGTATGATACATAGTGATAATAGCTGAGTGAAATGGTTGATACTGAAGCTAACTTAATACATAAATAGTAGAAGTGCAAATGCACAGCAAGAGCACAAATATTAGCATTAGGTCAGCACATCAGAAAGACTGGCATGTGGGACAACCAATGGATAAGATGATCCCCTGGAAGCTGAAAGTAGATATACCTTTAACTATACCTTTAATTAGGACAGCTATGGGTTTATCACAAAAACAAGATGTAACAGATGTAATATTATTTAATGTATCAGTTAATGTAAAAAAAAAAATAGAATAAATCTTTTATGTGCTACACTTTCACACAGGCATCAAAAGTTAATGTTAATCTGCTATTCTTGATTCATTTCAGGTGAAAATTAGTTCTAAAACCCTCTGGGCTGGTTTTATTGTTTGGTGATCTGAAAGGGAAGAAAATACTTATTCAAACCATTGCATCTGTTTGTTGAATGGCTAAAAAGAACATTTTTCTGAAGCTTTTCTGATTTAAGGTTATAACTATGTAAGGAATACTCAAATGGTCCAAGCAGCATTATATTGGTTAAATTCGTCGGCAGGAAAGTTTACATTCAGGTTGAGGCCCAGTTGTTATTCCAATCATTCCAGCAGTTCAACAAGTGTTTCGGATCAGCTGCAGTTTTCGTTTTTAGAGGGAACAATAGAGCTATGATTCCTTAATGAAATCAATTTGGATATCTGGAAGTGGACCAATCATGGACCCTTGAGGGACTTCAGGAGTGAGGGAAGCTGTAGATGATTAAACATCAGTCTATTAAACATCACTCTCTGCAGCACATAAACCAATGTAGAGCAATTTTTATTAATCCTCCCACAGAGCTCCATTTGTGCTATGGCCAGAAAAGCTGCTTTGAGATCTGAAAGAACTGACTTTGTCACAACTACTTGACTCTGTTCCCTAAAACCAGATTAAAATGTTTGCATGATGATTTTCACCCAGAAATAAATCATCTCTCACAATTCGACCAGCTGTTTATGCCAGAGATGAGTGATCAAAATAAATAAATAAATGCATGTTGTGTTTAGGTGGATCAGAGCTGGCGAAAGGAGCGCATTTTGAATGTGCCTCTTTGTAAGGAGGACTGTGAAAAGTGGTGGGAAGACTGCAAGGACGATTTCACCTGCATGACAAACTGGCACAAAGGATGGGACTGGACCTCTGGTAAGACAAACAGGAAGCAGACAACATAGACCACAGAAGGCTGATCATAGCTGGTTAAATGTTTCAGATAATAAATAAAATTGCAACTCCTTTATATTTCTTTATGGTATTTTTATTTAAATCTTCTCATTTCTCCTACAGGCACTAACAAGTGTCCTACTGGCAGCAAATGCAGGAAATGGACTGAAGTCTATGCAACACCCAAATCCATGTGTGAACAAATCTGGTCTAACTCCTACCTTTACACCACCCTTACCAAAGACTCTGGTCGCTGCATGCAGCTCTGGTTTGACGGACCAAACCCCAACACCAAGGTTGCAGAGTATTATCTCAACACCGCCCACAGGGACCACAGTTTTTCTCTGACAGCGCTGCTCTTCCTGACTGTCACATATTTCTTTGTACAAATGTACTAGCATTGTGCCTATGGAATATCCTTCATCCCAATGCTGAATAAAGTGTTTTTTAGCACATATTTGTGTTAATTATGTTTTTGTAAATCATTGATTTTCCCTCTACCTTGTCTTAATTTTGAATATTTAGTTGTGGCTTGAAGCAGAATTTGATAAAATAAGAGGGGAAAAAGGATTAATATTATGTTTACTGTGATACTGCAGGCATTCAGTTAAAACAAGTATAATAGAACCTTATCATATTTACATGATCCACTTTTAAGTCTCCTAATTAGAGGTGAAACAACAAGGATTTCTGCCCTTATCCCCTGATCCTAAAGCGGTGTAGTTTATCACTGATAGCTTTCTTTCTATACTTACTTTGTCCTGTTTAGGAACAAATTAAATATATACCGTGGAGCACCTTCTCTCAGATCATTTTAGAATCACAGATGATATCTGGAGAATTGCTGCACTTGTTGGCATTGTTGTGTTGCAATCTTTTGGGCCTTTGTGTGTGGAGTTTGCACATTCTCCTGGTTCTTGCATGGGTTCCCCCTGGGTATTCCTGCTTCCTCCCACAATCCATAAAAATGCATAGTATTTTCACTAGTCAATGCATCATGGCTTTGTGTCTCTTTGATGGCATAATGAATCACTAGTGACCTAGCTAGGGTGCACCTCATTTTTCACTGATGACTGCCAAACCCTGCACCAGTGTGAAACACCACACTGGCTTTTATGAACGCAGCCCACTGTTATATTGTTAAAGCAGCTGAAAGCCAAAATAATTTACATTCCTTTGACTTTGATGCACAAGCACCAGTTTCTGTGTTTGTGATTAAATACGATGTGCATTCGTGCCACCATCGAATAAACAACTAAATCTCTGCAACCATAAGCATAGAAAAAACAAACAATGAATGAGTGAAGGTTTACACACATTCTCTGTCATTCAGTTGAATGTAATTATTTCCAAGGTCTCTGTATAATATGAAAATATTCACTTGAGACATACCTGGCTTCCTCCTCTAGATTAAAATAAAAGAATTATCCATCATAGTTGAATTAGTTGCACAGAAAAAGTCTTGATTTATTTGTACTCTTAGGATTATGCTACATATTTTTAATGATCTACAGCTACAGATAGATAAAATAAAGGTAAAACTAAAGTTCTGATTCTGAAAACCATGACTATGAAGAGCCTATTAGTGTGGAAACTGCAAATCTACCCTACAGTCAGCACTGAGCAAAAAAACCTTCTCTGTGCTGGGGCCCACCGATCACTCCGTCATGAACACCCATGGCCAGCTAGTGGTTAGTGGGCTCCAGTGCTCTGTAATTATAGGGTTTCAGTCCCTTGGGTGTGTTTATATGAGTTTGTATATTTAAATAAAATATCATAAGAATGTTTTACATTCAGTTACACTTATCTCAGCCTTGATTTGCACCTTTGTGTGTTTAATCACCTTATACCATTGCTTCTTGGAAGCATCATACGTGGCAGTACAACATTATGTTTTCTGTTGTTTTTTTTCTTACTGGCTTTTTTTGGCTTTTTTGCTTTTCTGTCCAACTCTGATCTTCAAGATCTTTAGTAAAACGTTAATCGCAGACAAAGAGTAAATACTAAGAACTAAGTAAATACTAAAATTAGTTACAAAATGAAGATTCCAGTTATTAGGGGAAAAAGGAAACTAAACCACTGATAAACCTATTAAGCTGCTATCCTTTTGTTTAAGCAGCAACTACTGTTAAGGCTTTGCAAGAAACTAGCAGGAAGTGTTTTAGCTGTGTTGGCCTACTTTATTGTTTTTGAGGCATTCAGAAGTAAACCACTCAAAAGGTGACAAACTAATGCTATATATTTTCTTTGGTATTTTCTGATAGAGATCAAATTCAAAGTTTGGTCATTTTTACTGCAACCTGTCCAAGTCCTGAAGCAGCTAAGCAACCTTTGACCAGTACACTCCCAACATCTTATGTGACAGTTTGAAATTGCCTTTCCTCTTATAATACATTTGGACTCACACAAGACGTTCCAGTTTTCTCACTTAATTCAACATAATATTCTCCTGAATAAAATTAGATTTTTACCTTGGAACTCTCCTGTTGATGCCAGTTTGCCCTGTTTTTCTCATATTGTCGAATTATAACCATGGACCTTAGCAAAGGAAGAATAAAGTCGAATTGCTCGTTAAGTTTAGAATACCAGCCTTTCTTTAGAAGGTTGCTGTTGTCTCTATATGTGGCCTGCCCCTCTCTCTCGCTGGGCCCTTAGAGCTCTAAAAATTGCTTCTGCCACATAGATTTCAAATAAAATATTTCTAATCTGTTCTTAAACTAGTTTAGATTGGTTCCATTTTTAGATAGAATTCAACTGGTAGAATCTGAACTTTCTGAAGAAAGCTGGTTGCACAGTTATGATATTTCTTTGTGTAGTTCTTGTACATAAAAATCACAATAAAATAAATCATGAAGGTTTTTTTTTTGTTTGTTTGTTTTTGTTATAAGGTGACCAAATGTGGATAAAGTCAAAGAGAGATTAATATTTGTATCCCTCCTGTAACCATTGATTTATCCATTAATATGTGTGCTTGGGACGTGTGACACCTCTTTTGCATAATTCTCAGAATAAGCACATATAAAGACATTTAACACAGGTTTTAATTAAAAAGAGCTTTTGTTTTGCTGGCAACATTGGAGCAACATTGGCCAGTAGGACCGGAACAAGTTTCCACAGACAAATGCCAGTCTTNCTTGGGACGTGTGACACCTCTTTTGCATAATTCTCAGAATAAGCACATATAAAGACATTTAACACAGGTTTTAATTAAAAAGAGCTTTTGTTTTGCTGGCAACATTGGAGCAACATTGGCCAGTAGGACCGGAACAAGTTTCCACAGACAAATGCCAGTCTTGACTCAGTTCAGGAGGTGGGAAACAAAAGGATCCTAACGAAATTAAAATCTCTGTTGGATAATGTCTCCCACCCCATGCATGAAGCTGTTGCAGAACTGGAGAGCTCCTTCAGTGACAGACTGCTGCCCACAAAGGACCACAAAGGGTGCCCTTAGAGTCTTCTGAAAATAGATCGACTCAACAGTGAGCTACGTTTGAAATTTCATTGTATTCTGTTGCTCTTCTTTTTTAATCAGTTATAGAACATTTCATCATTTAATCATATATTGCATTTAAGCATTTATAGAGATTTCAAAATGAAAATGTCTAAATTTAAAGAAACGATAAAGATATGTTTATAATGTATGAAGTTTAGGTGAACGTTGACCCTTGCAATTCATAGGTCAGTATTGGTAGCCCTTCCTCTGACTCAGTACCCCTGAATTAGCCCTCAACTGTAAAAAGGTTGGTGACCGCTGCTCTATAACCACCACCGTTCCCAAAAACCTCAGTAAGTTGTTACATTCATGCTGATTTTGCACTGTTTCTACCTTATTCAGTTAAATAACATGTTGCTGTCATTTTGCACAAATCTGATGTATCCATTACTGTAAAAATATCCATAGCTGTATATTGGTTATTCATTCTCCAGGTGCAACATTTTTATATTGTTAAAACACTTTACAGTACAGAATTTAATTGTTTATCTTTTAACTCTTCAATATCATGTTATTCTTATACATTTTTCTAAGGTCCATATTTGTGTGACCATTTTTTCTGTTATCTTTTTGCCGCTGTAAACACCAGAATTTCCCCATTGTGGGACAATAAAGGGATTTTCTATCCTATTATATTGTATTTCAAATATCTATCCCTACTACAAGGATGTTTTAGGTTGACAGTTCACAAATGAATGATCACATTTAANTCTATCCTATTATATTGTATTTCAAATATCTATCCCTACTACAAGGATGTTTTAGGTTGACAGTTCACAAATGAATGATCACATTTAACGACCCATCAAACCAAAGGCAAACCAAAACACACATATGATCTGAAGGCAAACAAATGAACACAAAACCAGTTATATGTTAGGCATTTTATCTAAAAAGTAGATCGGTTTATTTGGTTTTTGCTGTTCTCTGTCTGCAGAAATATTGAAATAGGCCACAAATTTTCAACTCATATTCGGACATATTTGGACAGAGTGATGCCGCAACCATAAATATCTGTGCTGTTATTAATACTCAGCTTCTCTGTGGTCTTTGGCAACAAACACACACATGAACACACACACACACACACCCACATACACACAAAACAGTCGCCCTGCATGTTGACTTCTTACTCACTTTGTCTGCGTGACTATTCAAACCACCTCCCGGTGTGGAAAAGGGCTGAATCATCCATATCAGAGGCCAGTTTATGTTTTTTCTCATTCTTGCGGTCTATCAGTCCGGCGCTCAGTTTGGCAGTTACACCTTCTGCATGTGTAACTGCGTGTGGTCTGGGAAAGAATAAAATTGCATAACTGGATTACAGAATATATTGACAAACTGGTGGAGCCAGGCCTCTCCAGCGGCTTATAGCTACTCACAGAGGAAATCCCTCTGGCATTATTGAAGGCTTTGCCAATGGCATTTACCAACGTAGAGTAGATAAATACCTTAAAATTGACTGGAAGCATTTTTTTTCATACTTTAAAAGAATTGAAATGTCCATGTGATTTGGTCAACTTAAAATTTGATGGTGTTACAACTTAATAAATGTATTTGTGGTATGAAACCAACAATTTCACTATACCTGGAATTAAAAATCCCTTATAATGGAAAAAAATCAACTGACACAATTAGTTTCCAAGTAAATATCTACTTCAGTAGAAGGTAATTGTGTCATTATGGGTTTATCCTTTCACATGCCGTAACTCACGTGAATGTGACCTCATTACTTGGCTAATTTAAAATAGGTGTGACCATCACTGCAACACCATGAGAAAGATTGCAGTTACAGCTAATGAAGTCTCTACAGGTTCAGAAGAAGAATGTTTATAATGGGCAGGAATTGTAGTCGGTAAGTGGAATGTCTCAGATATCATATGGGGACGATTCTAAGAAACCTGAAGGCATTTCAGGTTCTTTAATTCAACTC